CCTGGGGGGCGGGAGGGCAGTGGAAGAAGAGCCTGGCTGCAGCCCCTTGGCTCTGCCTGGCCCTGTGCCCTCGTGGGCACATGAGGCCTGGCCCGGCTGGGCTGCCTGGCCCTGGGCATGGGCTCTGATGCTGCCCCCCACCCCCTGCCCCCTAGGCACTGAACCCTTACTACGGATTCCAGGCCTTCAGCATCGGGCTGTGGCTGGCCGACCACTACTACTGGTACGCCCTGTGCATCTTCCTCATCTCCGCCGTCTCTATCTGCCTGTCGCTGTACAAGACCAGAAAGGTGGGTGGTGTGAGGCGCACGGGGCGGGCCAGGCAGGGCCATGGGACCTCCGTCCACCACTGCCCCTTTGTCCCTGCCCACAGCAAAGCCAGACTCTGAGAGACATGGTCAAGGTGTCCATGCGTGTGTGCGTGTGCCGGCCTGGGGGAGGTGAGGAGGGGGGGCGCGGGAGGCGGCGGTGGGTGTGCGGGGCGGGGGGGTGGAGGTGGGTCTGCCACCTCTGCTGAGTCTGCCACTCGCCTGCAGAGGAGGCGTGGGTGGACTGCAGCGAGCTGGTGCCCGGAGACTGCATGGTGCTACCTCAGGAGGGCGGGCTGATGCCCTGCGATGCCGCCCTGGTGGCCGGCGAGTGCGTGGTCAACGAGAGCGCTCTGACAGGTGGGCCCGCCCGCCCCCGCCCCCCGCACCCGCTGCGTCCGAGTTTCCGCCCGTCTCAAGCGAGGATCTCGCACGCTGCAGTACACGGGCTGCTGTCCCGCGGCGCCGTGCCTGTTCCCTCTGTAACACGGGCTCCCAGCCCCTCCGGGGAGGGCTGTGGGAAGTGCGGGCAGCGTGGAGCAAGGCCCTGGAGTCCGTGAACTCGGTGTGGGCGTCCCCCCTCGGCAGACCCACAGGGGCTCCGCATCTTCCCGACAGACACCCCCTCCGCCCCCTCCCCTGCGCCCCGAAGCCTTCGGGGTCCTTCCTGGGCTCTGCGCAGTGTGTAACGAGGGGCAGGTGTGCCAGTGTGCCAGCACAGCCCCTCCTGTTACCCAGGGAAGCCCGCCCACAGGCACCCCCGGCCACTCTGCAGCGCGGCGTCCCGGCCTCCCCCCGCCCATGACAGGCGCAGGGCCCGTGTCTGGGCCGTCGGGTGACCCCGTGGAAGTGGCTTCGTTCACTGGGTCGCAGCCTGTGGTAAAAGAACCGCAGCGGCCACGCTCCCTGCGGCCGCTGCCCTGCCGTGCGCGCCCTCGGGCCCCTCTGGGTGGCTCCTGGGAGCTGGCTGGCGCCACCCACGGTCTTCTGTGTCTTGGGCCCTCCCTGGGCCTCTGTGCCCACTCAGGAGACGGGCAGGGAGCGCCTCACGTGGGTGCCAGAGCGAGGTGCGAGCGGGGCCCGTGATACCGTCGGCCTGGCGGGTGGAGCGGTGCGGCCTCACGTCACTTCCCTCCTAGGGGAGAGCGTGCCAGTGCTGAAGACGGGCCTGCCCGAGGGGCCGGCGCCCTACAGCCCCGAGACCCACCGGCGGCACTCGCTTTTCTGCGGGACCCTCGTCTTGCAAGCCCGGTCCTTTGGGGGACCCCGGGTCTTGGCGGTGGTGACCCGGACAGGTAGGAAACCTGGAAGCAGGGAGGGGTGGCTGCTTGGCACCTCGGGCGAGCTCTGCCACTGCCCTGCTGTGGCACCTTCGGCCAGTCCCGCCCCATTGGGGCTGGGGCCTCAGTTTCCCCATCTTAAAGAGGTTTGAGCGAGCCCAGCTCAACGTGTCGGAGCCCACAGGGGCTTTCAGTGCTTGGTGGACTGGATGATGGCGAGCAGGAGCGTCCACCCTAGGGAGGGAGAGGCCCCTACACTGGCGCAGCAGGCCCTGGCCAGGGGGAGTAGGACATGTCACCACGTGTCACTTTCAGCAAGAGCGGGGTGTCCACATTGAGGCGAACCACAGCCTGTCGATGCTCTATAAATTCGGTTTGTGCTGAGCCTTGCAAGGCCTGCGGCCGTCCTGTTGACCCCAGACTGGACAGTGGTCGCCCAGAGGTGCAGGTGGGGCGGGTGGGGTTGAGGAGGCCCGTCCTGACCCTCTGTCCCCACCTTCACTTCCCATCTCCCTCAGGGTTCTGCACGGCCAAGGGGGGCCTGGTGAGCTCCATCCTGCACCCCCGGCCCATCAACTTCAAGTTCTACAAACACAGCATGAAGTTTGTGGCTGCCCTGTCTGTCTTGGGTGAGTGTCCCCTGCACCCCACTCTGCTGGCCCCGGAGCCCGCTCCCAGTCCCACCCATCCCTCCTGTCTCCGCAGCTCTCCTGGGCACCATCTACAGCATCTTCATCCTCCACCGCCACCGGGTGAGCCGTGGGGGCGGGCTGGGGCTGTCCTCAGGGGTCCCGGGCCCCTCCCAGCCAGCCGCTGACTTCACACGGGCTCCACCAGGTCCCCGTGCGTGAGGTCGTGATCCGGGCTCTGGACCTGGTGACAGTGGTGGTGCCGCCCGCCCTGCCGGCCGCCATGACGGTGTGCACGCTCTACGCCCAGAGCCGGCTGCGAGGCCAGGGCGTCTTCTGCATCCACCCTCTGCGCATCAGCCTGGGCGGCAAGCTGAGGCTCGTGTGCTTCGACAAGGTGGGGGCCACAGGACGGGCGGGGCTCGGCTGGGGGGAGGGCACAGACCGCCACACCTGCCTCCTTCGCCCAGCCACGATGAGCAAGCCCCTGTCCTGGGGTGCAAACCCCGACACCCCCGCCCCTGCCCTCCTGTCGAGCGCCGGCTGGCCGATGAGGTGTCCATCACACCCGCGGGGGGCCTGCCCTGCACCGGGCTCTCCGCACGGGGGCCAGCGGTGGCTCAGCTGTCCCCTGGACGTGCACATGGTATCCCCCCTGCATGAGCAGGCCTCGGAGTACAGGTGGCGATGGGATTAGGAAAGGAGCGAAGGGGATGCATGAGGGGCGCCCAGGCGACTGGGCTCCGGAGGGGGCAGCTGGGAAGACTCCTGGCCCCTGGGGGAGGGACCGCGTGCCTGGGCAGGGGAGCAGCCTGGCACCAGGCGAGATGCGGAGGGCCAGGCCCGGATGGGGCAAAGCGCGTGCGCCCGGTGGGGGTCCGGACATGATCTGAGGGCAGGAGGTCAGCGGAGAGTTTTAAAACCGAAAGGTCATAGGGCACGGCCGATTCCCAGAGCTCCCAGGCAGTGTCGGGGCCAGAGGTGTGACCGGGCGGCTGGGGAGGGGTGCGACATGCGGGCTGCGTCACCCCCTCGGCGTTCTGCCGCAGCCCCCGTGAGCACTGCGTGGCCAGCCCCCCCTCCTGGTGCTGCGTGGACACGTGGGACGCACAGGTGGGAGCCCGAAGCCAGGACCACCTGGATTAAGGAAGACTTCCTGCGCCGGGCAGACAGTGGGGGCCGGGGCCGGCAGAGGGACCCGGGTGTGAGCGCTCCCGAGGCAAGCGGGGATCTCGTCTGGCTTCTGCTCTGGTTCCCTGCGACCGGAGAGGGGCAGCTCCTCCCAGGACTCACCAGCCCGCCCTCTCGCCTCGTGCAGACGGGCACCCTTACCGAGGACGGCCTGGATGTGATGGGCGTGGTGCCCCTGGAAGGACAGGCGTTCCTGCCCCTGGTCCCCGAGCCCCGCCGCCTGCCTGTGGGGCCCCTGCTCCGAGCACTGGCCACCTGCCATGCCCTCAGCCGGCTCCAGGACACCCTAGTGGGCGACCCCATGGACCTCAAGATGGTGGAATCTACTGGCTGGGTGAGGAGGCCTAGTAGGTCTGCCCCTGCCCTTGAACAGCTGGGCCCCAACAAGCCCCACCTCGTTTTCATTCTAGAGCTTTCAGGGCGCCCTTTGCTAGGCCCACCGTCAGTGGCCACTGGCCAGGGCCGGGCGCCAGCACTCACTCTGCTTCACAGAGCGAGACTCGAATTACCTGTCCAGCATCACCCGGCCACTCACAAGTGATGGAGCTGGGGTTTGAACTTGAACCCACCCGGTTCCACGGCCGCCCTGGCCGGCCCCGTGAAGCTTCCTCCCGTGGCTCCTGCCTCCCACCGCCTCTCTCTGGGCCGGGGTGGGCCGTTCCTGGTCGGCCCTGCCTGGCCCTGAACCGCGACCTTCTCTCCTGCCTCCCAGGTTCTCGAGGAGGGACCGGCCGCAGCCTCGGCATTTGGGACCCAGGTCCTAGCGGTGATGAGACCCCCACCTCGGGAGTCCCAGGTGCAGGACATGGTGAGCCAGGGGTGTGCCCATGGAGGGGGGCTGGGGCGCCACGGGCCAGCCCCTCAGCTGAGCCTGCTGCCCTGCCTGCAGGGGGAGCCGCCCACGCCGGTCAGCATCCTCGGCCGCTTCCCCTTCTCGTCATCCCTGCAGCGCATGAATGTGGTGGTGGCGTGGCCGGGGGCTGCTCAGCCTGAGGCCTATGTCAAGGGCTCCCCTGAGCTGGTGGCAGGCCTCTGCGACCCCAAGACAGGTGAGGGGGACCCCCCAGGCTGCGGTCAGGCGTTGGCACAGATGGGGTGGGCACCCCGTCTCCATCCCTGCTTCTTTGTCCTGCTGATGCCCAACCCTCGGCAGTGCCCGCCAACTTCGCCCAGATGCTGCAGAGCTACACCGCTGCCGGCCACCGTGTCGTGGCCCTCGCCGGCAAGCCGCTGTCCATTGCGCCCAGCCTGGAGGCGGCTCAGCAAGTGACGAGGTGGGCCGTCCGCCCCCCCAGCCTCTGGTGCCGCCTCAGGCATGGCAGAGCCCGGGAAGGTGTCCCTGCCCAGTGGCCGGGGAGAGGCCTGGCCACTCTGTGACCCTGCCGGTCTGCACGCCCCAGGGACACTGTGGAGCGGGAGCTGAGCCTCCTGGGCCTGCTGGTCATGAGGAACCTGCTGAAGCCACAGACGGCGCCAGTGATCCAGGCCCTGCGCAGGACCGGCATCCGCACCGTCATGGTGACAGGTACCCGCGCCGTCATGGTGACAGGTACCCGCGCCTTCATGGTGACAGGCACCCGCGCCGTCAAGGTGACAGGCACCCGCGCCGTCATGGTGACAGGCACCCGCGCCGT